CCCTGTGGCCAAGACCAGAAGATAGAATTTGAAGCTAGAAAGGGGATACCGGGTTTTCCACCCTCCCGCCCCCGGCGCGCTGGGTGAGACTCGCTCCCGGTGCGACAGCCTGTGAAAGTGCGGGGGAGAGGGCGGGGCGGAGGCGGCAGGGCCCCGGCGGGCCCCAGGATGTGCGCTCGACCGGCGGTGAGAAAAACTCCCTTCCCCTCCCGCCGCCCTTCCCCGCGGCTCCTTCGGGTGGACCCCCGCGCCCAGGGCATCGCACCCTTTCCCCTTCACTCTCCCTTGGTTACTATGGAAACCAGGGTGTCATCGATGTGGGCTGAGCCGGGGAACACGTCGGCGGGCGCAGCTGAAAGTCAGCGATGCTGCCGGTGGGTAGCAACGTGCGGGGTGAAGTCCGCAGCCCCCGAAACTGCTGGAAGGACAGTCCCGCCCCCTCCCTTCCTCTCCGCTCCTCTCCCTCCTGGCTTTTGACAAATTTCTTTATTCCCCTCTGGGCTAAAGTGGTGGCTATTTTTGTGCCACTCTGTGCCCCACCCTCACTGTGGGCCGCTCCTTATCCGGGCCTGGCCTGGAGGGTGACACCATGTCACCCTCGCCAGGACTCGTCCCTTGATTCCCGTCAGAGTTTGCTTTGATTTCTCTTTCCTTCTCAGGGGCCAGTTCTTACTTCCTTTTATTTTTAGCTCTGCACTCCATGTGGTTTCAGGGTTCAGTCTGATCCATTGAAAGTTTCTTTTTTTATAGTCCCTTTTGAGAATGATAAAGAAATGGACATGGTATTTGGTCATGTGGAAAATTCAATGTATAATTTAGACGTCTGTCAAAAATCCAACAAATAAAATTTAGCTGAAAGGAAAGCCGCCTGGAATGTGTTGTGCTTTTTGCTGGAGCTCCGAGAGGGCCTGAAATCCGTTTGTTATTTCACAGGTTAACATTCGTCAAGGTGCTCTTTTCCAGAAGGATGTAATATTAACATCACCAATAACAAAAATAAAAATAACCCTTTAGTAAGCTCCTCCTACCTACGAGGCACTTTACAAACATCATGGGGCAGCATTAGCCCTACATTACAGTTGAGGAAACTGACGCCCTTCCCTGGGGTAAGGATTTTGCCCAAGATCACAGAGCCTTTAGTGCAGGAGGGGCCTGGAACCTGGGTCTGAATGCTACAGCTGCCACCTCTGGGGGATAAAGACAGTGACAGCCCATTTCCCAGTAGCCTGAGCCCCTGGCCTTCCAAGCACACACCGTGGCTCTCCTCTGACCAGCACTGCTCCCCTGGCAGTTTCTGTCCCAGGTGTTGGGTATCCTCTGTCCTCACAGCAGCACAACCGTGTATTTTGTACCGTCCTTTGCATAGACGGGAAAAAGGGAGAAGACATTGGGAAAGTTAGGGCTAACGAGGATGTTTGCAATTACCTAGTACCTGATACCGGGCCTTCCTTTTAGAGAGGGTTCACAGGGGGTTCAGACTTGCCCAAAGTCACACAGTAGGTGGCAGGGTAGGCACTGGTCCAGGGTTCTGACCTCTGGAGCAGAGGAGCTTATCTTTCCCTCTGGCAGCCTCACTTCCTCGGTCTGGAGACACCAGCATGGCTGGTCCCAAGGGCCCACCTTTAAATGTAAGCTGTTGGCAAAATAGAGGGGAGGGAGCTTGAGGCAGGAGAAGAGAAGGTCTAGTGTTGCCAGATAAATGGCAGAACGTTCAGTTAAACTTCAGTTTCAAATCAACAAGGAATCATTTTTAGCATAAGTATATCCCATGCAATATTTGGGATATACTTATAATACTAAAAAAAAAAAGTTATTGTTTATCTGAAATTCAAATTTTAACTGGCTATCCCTGTTTTGGGTTTTTGTTGTTTTGCTAAATCTGGCAACTCTATCCAGAATGCCCTGCTCTGCTACAATTTAAAAGTTCTCTGAAGTTAGACTCAGGGCTCAATCCTTGCTCATCTGTAAGTCAGCTCTGTGATCTTGGTTACCCTGCAAGTTGGTTACTCTCTTGGAGTCTTGACTCTCCATCTGTGGAATGGGACTTAAGTGGTAGAGAGATTGAAAAGAGATGAAATGTAAATAAAATACCTGGACCTGGGACAATAGCGAGAGTGTAGTAGGAACACTCTGGGCCTCCATTTCTTATCTGTAAAATGAGGTAATAGTCGTCTACCTCATGGCATTCTCCAGAGGGTTAGGTGAAGTTATGGATGTCCAGAGTGTAGTAGGTGCTAAGTCACTGGCAGCTATTATAACTGGAAGAAATTCTGGAGTCTGGGCCTTCCCAGACCCTGAAGGCCTCTGCCCTGCCACCTCCCCTCCCACTTGGCTCACTTTCCAGGCAACAAGCAAGCTTGGGCCAGCAGCCTTCCCGGAGATGCTGGCAGCCCCCTCCTGCTGAGGCTCCCAGGGCCACCCCAGCCACACCTCCTGCAATTAGATTTGTAAGTGGGAACTTGCTCCTGTTAGAGGCTTCTGATTGGCTCGGGGCAAAAACACAGTTTAGCGCTCAGTCAAGCTGCATTTTAGGGCCTCTGTCTCCCTCTCCCCCTTTTCCCCCCTTAATTGCAATCTGTTCGGTAATTTCCTTTTCCAACACTGCAGAACACAGAGAAGCTTCAGCACCAGGAGCTGGGCAGGGAAGAAGGAAAGAGAAAGAGCTCCAGCTCCCTGCAGGGAATCTGCTGGTCCGGCACTGTGTCAGTGTGTGTGTGTGTGTGTGTGTGTGTGTGTGTGTGTGTGTGTGTCCCCAGAACCAGCCACACACGTGGGCATGTGGAGATATGACCA